TTATATTATACTACATATAAGATTTATTATATATTATGTTCATTATATTTATAGAAATTTAATGGTTTTTAATAATTTTCTCAAATGTATTATGTATTCTACTTTTAATTTTAAAATTATATTATATTTGTATGCTAATATTACCACTAACAATAAGATATTTATCTGAATTCATAGATATGTACAAAGTGATGAATTTAATGTTTACCTTTATTTTCTAAATCAATAACTGKGATTTGAAAAAATAATACATGATTACAAAAAAATATATACATTTATTTATAATGATACTGATGTTCAAAATTATTATATGATTTATTTAGTTGGATGTCAAATCTATTTAAAATAAGACAGCACAGAGATTTAATTGAAACAGATTTGTATACGGCATTAGATGATCACACATCATCATCATTAGGCGATCAATTAGAAAAGTTTGAAATTTATTTATTTCTTTTTATCTTACTTTGAACTAAATTGGTATTTATTTTGGCACATATTTAGGACATGGAGATCAGAGTTAGATAATGCATATTTAGTGAAACGAAAGCCGACATTATTGAGAGCTTTGATCCGAATGTTTGGTGCTAAATATATGTTTTTCGGGATTATAACTTGCATGCTCGAAATGATTTTCAAGTAAGAATTAAATTATTTTTTCAATTATTTTTATAACATTTAGATTGAATAAACTAAAACGTTTAAAATCTATATTTTAGTAAATCTGATTTCTAGCCAAAAATGTAGCGTCCMATATAATGGGGACAMATATTGATTTACTATACATTAATTAATTGTTTTGAATACAATTCTGCATATTTTAGTCACCTTACATAGTATTATGAAAAATCCAAACTGAATTGATAATTATATTATAACTYTTCTTACAGTAGGTGTGGCTTCAGATACATGGTTGGGAGGTGGCCATGCCATTATTTTCAGAAAATATTYGGTATTAAAATATGTTTTCTCTTGCTATTTTTTTTATAACACCATAYATTTTTTCAAAGAAATACGAGCTTTGTTGGGGATGCGATCCCMTATTTTAACCAGAGGTAAAATAACCAAAGTTTATTAGTTAGAAAAAAATACTATGATTAGAATAATAATATATAATATTACACTATTCATTTTTAAATAAAACTTAAAAATCATTTAATTCATAATTGCCAAGTACTTAACTTATACATTAGAATAATTCCATATTTTCAACTTTAAAATAACTTGCAAATTTTCGTGATTTTGATTCTGATTCAAAATTTGAACTTTAAATGCTTGTAAGAAAATAATTACAAAATGAATCAGTATGACGAACATTTGAAAATTATTTTGTAATTTAAAGTTTACAAAATTTTCAATTTTTATAGCTAAAGATAGAAATTTAAAACAAGGTTTCTCGTAAGTAAACAGTAGTTAATATTTTAAACAAATTAGCTAAAAAAA